GTTATTACGAAGTCTCTGTCAGAGTACTTGAAAAAATAAGGAGATAAATGGGCAATTGCTCACTGTCTTTTAAGGGTTACTTGGAGAAGGAGATGAGGCTCTAACGTGTAACTTTAGGTTATGGAGTCCTATTTCACAATAACAGGTGACAATTTATAGGCCCCAGCAATAAAACCATATGTGAATTAAACAGGGAATGTGCTAGAAGATGTCTCTGTTCTCAATAACCAGGTTTTGGTAATTTAATTTACAGTAATTTGGGGCAGGTTTGGAAGACAAAGAAATATGTGCTGGTAAGCTCACAATGAAAACAAGAAAATGTGCATTACTACATCCACTAAAAGAGAAGGCTGCATTACAGAAGCCATTTTAAGAGAAGCCACAAATAGGAAAACCAAGCAAGTAGCAACAACAACAATAAACTATAAAGAAACTTTCCATGTACTGAATTGAAGAAAATACTTAACTGAAAAATTAAACCAACAGAGTATAAATATTTTTAAGGGAGATAATTTTGCATTGTTACTAAATTCGAGAGTGAGTAGATAGAATATTCTAATGCACATTCCCTTCACTCAGCTTATTCCTTTGTACAGTTTGCACTTCTTTATAGGTAGTGTATTAGACACTAGACCCTTAATATATATTGTCTCAAAAGTGAATAAGATACAAAATACACTATGTTTCACCACATCATTTCAGAGACCAGGACTAATTAAACATTAGGCTACCAAATACTTATTCATTTATCTTATGAGTCTTTAAAAACTTGAGGAGGCAGAAACCATAGCTCATTATTTATACCTTCGTGGGCTCATAAGGTGGAACTTTTAAAGTATGGCTAAAGGTTTTTTTTAAGGGCCTACACTTTATATGAAAGAGAGAGTCAAGGTGAGCAAATGGTCAGTAGTCATTTTTTGGGAAGAAAAGATAATGGATTTTAAAAATAATTTAAAATATTTAGGAGCCCCTTGCTGATACTCCAACTTTATTTTTTTCAACTACAAGCTCTGTCCTGATCAGCTGGGTTCCTACATCATTATCAGAGCCCTACCAAATTCACAGCCATGAAAAATACATCACAGATGTGAAATCTGGTGCCATACAGATTTCACAGTGGAGAGCATTGTTTCTTAAATTGGGGGTCCTGACCCAAAACAAATTTCCAGGGGCAGAGAGAACTACAAGGTTATTTTAGCATGGTTCAGAATGTTGCCACCCTTACTTCTACGCTGTCTTCAGAGATGGGTGACCAGAGAGTGGCAGCTGTTGGCTAGGCACTCAGCTCTGAAGGCAGTGCCCTGCCAGCAGCAGTGCAGAAGGGTGGGGATACCATACCCTGACATCCTTACTTCTGCGCTGCTGCTGCAGGCAGTGGCTCTGGCTTCAGAGCTGGGCATCCAGCCAGCAGCCATCACTCTGCAGCTGCCCAGTTCTGAAGGAAGTGCTGCCACCAGCAACAGTGTACAAGTAAGAATAGCAAGGACACCTCCCCCAGGCTAACCTTGTGACACCCCCCCTGCAACTCCTTTTTTGGTCGGGACCCCTACAATTACAAAAATGAAGTTTCTAGAAATGTCAGATTTAAATAGCTGAAAACATGACATTCATGATTTATAAAATCCTATGACCATAAAATTGACCAAAATGGACCGTGAATTTGGTAGGGGCCCTCTCATTACCAGGGGGTAAGGATAAAGTAGCCTGAAGAAGCTGCAGCTGCTTTGAAGTGTAACAGCATGGGGAAGGATAATCAAGTGGTTAGGTTATTAGCATGGAACTCAGGATGACTTGTGTTTAGTAACATGCTGTATGAGTTTCTGCATGACATTGGGCAAGTCACTAAACTCACTGTGCCTTGTTCTCCCATTTGTAAAATGGAGATAACAGGACTGCCCTACTTCACAGAAAGGTTCTGAAGATAAAAACATTAAGGATTGGGAGATGTTATGGTAATACAATCTACATAATTACCTTGAAGGGAGGGGAAAGGAAAAAAGAATAGGGGATGGGGAAGGAGCATTTAAGAACTTATTTGGTGTCTTTTTTATATGCGATTGGTATTGGAAACTCTGCTTGTATTACATGTGACACACATTCTATCACTTTTAGGAGGTGTGGAATTAACTCCAGGAAAAAACTGGTTCAGAGAATGGTAAACATGTCAGACTTTGATGATCATTTTGAGAATGACAGTGATGTAAAATTGTAGGATACATTGGTAATAGGAATGGTATACTTGCATCCTATCAACCACAATAAAATACACTACTACATGTGATATTTTTATTTTATGTAACATAGGCTAGTTATAGGAAGACAGATATTTTAAATGCATATTTTAAATATACAAAATGTATCTGAAGTTGTTCCTTTGCATTTGTTCAATATTATAAATAAGAATTGTTCAGAACCTACAATGCTGAAAAGAGAAATAAGTATACATAAATGAATATACAAGGAATACTAATTATGATTTAATATTAAAAAATAATCAATTTTAAGGTACCTCTTTGCATTTGCCCTGTAAAATATAATGAAAAGGATTTTTTTTAATATCTCAATAACCTGGCTGTATTAAGCAGCATGCAATTGAAATCTAAGGTGATACATGACTCAAATTTCTTGCTAGCAATCTAGGAAGAAACTGTGCATGATAGAACTGACAGAATGATAGTAAGACAGCTTGCACAAATCTCTGCAAACAGATAGGTGGATTTTCATCACTCATTTCATGCTTTGTATCCTTTGGAATTTTGGCTGTTTTTATAGTCACAACAAGTTGTGTGTCCTAAACATACCAAATAGTATAGAAAATATTTGCCTGTAATCTTTAGATTGTCTGGTGCTTAAAGTATGCAAGAGTTGAGAATTCCAAGCATCAATTCGAGTACTTTTCTTTATTTTGTCCTCAGGGTACACTGCTTAATTATTATATTGAAATGAGATATATAATAAGCAAAGTCTGATTTTGAAACTCATAACAATGTGGTGGTGGGTAAAAAGGAATAAGCATGATAACCTAGTTGGAATGATGTCCAGAACACAATTCCTAGGAATACTGTAACGTTTCAGTTTACTGTCCTTTTGTTGCTATAATTATTTATTCCTGGATCCAAACATTTGGGAACTCACAACTTCTTTATGTAACAGAATAAAAATATGAGTACAATTATGTTAAAAGCAATGTGGTGGTGGGTAAAAAGGAATAAGCATGATAACCTAGTTGGAATGATGTCCAGAACACAATTCCTAGGAATACTGTAACGTTTCAGTTTACTGTCCTTTTGTTGCTATAATTATTTATTCCTGGATCCAAACATTTGGGAACTCACAACTTCTTTATGTAACAGAATAAAAATATGAGTACAATTATGTTAAAAGCATATTATA